TCTCATTTTTCGTTATGACTCGGTGGATGTATAATTTGATTCACTTTTATCAATGCTAAGTTCACATTTTGAATCCATTTCACTAGACTCACTAGCAGTATTCATCAAAAGACAGAACCATAACATGAGGACATCCATGTCTGTCAATTAGTTACAGTTTATGAGTAGCATGGGTGAAAGGACAAAAGTTTATATAAAAACAAAATGTGTCATCAACATGTGCTTCCGTCTAACCACAGGCTGTGGAACTTAGTTGTACACTGTATGAACATTTTTCGGGGGCATAAGGAATGCAAACTTGCACCATCACAGTTCATTTTTGGGCATGGTATTTAAGGAGTTAATACTTGTTAAAATTATACGAAAATTTTTATATAAATTTTTCCAGTTATGAATTTGTAGATACATGTATATGTACACTAAACAAAAAAGAAGCTGTAGCTCACATACACATATACATAAAGGGGAAAAGTTTCCAAACACATATTTAATATAACCAAAAACCATTTTTAAATTAATTTATTCACAAGAAAAAATACCCTTATTCACATGAAAATGAATAGAAACTGACCATATGAAAAGGAAAAACTTGAGTATCAAATTGTACAAAAGCTTAAAAGTACAAGTGCACATAGAAAAAATAAACAAATATACAAAGCATATACATAAACAAAAATAAATTCTAAAAAACGTATCCACATCCAGGAATTCCAGCGAGATAATTTTGTACTAATTCCTTGATCACCTTGGTAGCCCTGCCAACTTTTTTTTTGCAGTAGGTAAGGTCTTTTTTTCATTTGGCATGTTTTACCTGTCCTTGAAATGTCTTCATTCCTTCTTCTGATGCTGATCTTTATCTCAGAAGGTAAACTGTCAGGCAGTCATTCTCTTAAAGGAAATATAGATATTACAACTTGACTTTGCTTATTACTTATACTGGACATTGCATCTACAAAAGCTGGCTTTTCCTATCAGATTTTGCACCATTAGGAGATACAGTTATACAAATATCAAAGTTTTTAACTTCACACTTTAGCCATATTCAGGCTGGTGTACACCTGCATATCAAATTTCAAAATTTATGCAGAAATAATTCCAACTCTATTTCAAAACTATTTTAGAATTAATATTTCGTCATTTGCAGCATTCACTTGATGTAATTCTCGTAGAGTATTTTTCTTAGATTTCAAATTTACATTTCTACAATATATATATATATATATATATATATATAAATAAATAGTATAAATAAATA